CTTTTCAGACCGATGAGCTTTGTAAAAATCGATGCGTTTCAAAAAGGCGGGGCATAGAGGAGAAACAATAATGTACAGTATGTGGAAAATAATGTGTTTTTTGAACTTTAAACCGCATAAACACATTTCATTACACCAAATACACAAAATAATGTTCTTTTTAGCAGCATCATATGACCCCTTTAACTTCGGTGGACTTAAACCTCAAAAATGGTGTGTTCGGCGATTGAAATAAAATACTTTCTGATGTTTATTCATGTTCATTTCGTGCTTTATGTAAATATGAAAAGATGATCAGTTCACATGTTTGAACTGAGGCAATACAGTGATCTGCCACTACACATTAAAGAGCCACAAAACGGTATTGTTTGAATTTCTTAACAAAAATGACAAAATATGAAAGCTGTCCTGCTTACAGAGTCCGGAGACCTTGTTTCATAGCAGAAGTAACCTGCTCTGTCTTCTCTGTCGGCACGTTGTCAGTTTCCTCTTTGCTCTGCGATGTTGTATTTTTCTCTGCGTAAGAACATGTGCTGCGTCCCAATTCGCCTACTTATACTATACTTTAAAAGTATGTACTCTTTTTGTGAAGAAAAAGTACATACTTTTGAGTATGTAGAAGAATAGTAGGCAAGTTTTGGGACATACTACTGCGTCATAGCTGCTTCTTTAACGGACGCTCGGTTGCTTAGTTACGTGCATTCTGTCACTTTTTAAACTGCCCTGTCAATCATCTTGTCACAGTTAACATCATCCACATTTAATTTAATTTGATTTCCTACCGTATTGGAGAGAAATGAAGAGGCACGTTGATCTGCTAGTCGCGGGTCTATCATGCCGAGAACTCTGCTCATGTGTTTGCAATAATGATGCATTTAAAAGTTAATGACCAAACGTATCTTTATAAAAGTTCACCGTGTCGCTGCAGATGAAATATAACATGGATAACATTAAATTTATATTTTTCATCAGGTTAGACATTGATTTATCACTCAAATCCCTTTCTCTACCTGTCGTTTCTTAACACTTTTAATGCGTGTTTGTAGTTCTAATTGAATCCTCGTCCACCGCGCAATGTGTTGTGGGCAATATTAGCTGTTAGAGTGTGCATCGATCTGCACTTCGAATTCTAACCGGAAGTAGTAGACCATCCGTGAATCTTTGGCATACTTTTTTTAAACATACTATGATTTGAGACATACTAATTCTATTTTCGAATATTAGTTAGGACGGATACTATGCGAATTAGGACGCAGCAACTGTGTGTAGTGTGAGAGCGGCATTGTTTGTCAGGGATAGCAACAGTAACTAAGGAGGGCGGGTCTTTGCAAACGGTCAATTGTGGCATGACTTCTCCCCATTTTCAGTATAAATTTCTCTAAGGGTAGAAACTGATTTTTTTCTGGCTGTCATCCTCCCACCCCTAAAATGTCCAGCACGTGCCTTCAGATGGAGGGGCATTTACGACACAGAGCCGTAGATCACTGACAAGCTACACAAAATCGCGTTCAAAATCGCAGGCGATTCATTGCCGATTCTGAACGCGATTTTGTGTAGCTTGTCAGTGAACTACTACAACTACGGCTCTGTGTAGTAAATCGATTATGAACGCGATTTTGCGTAGCTTGTCAGTGAACTATGGCTCTGTGTAGTAAATGCTGCTCCATCTGAAAGCACGTGCTGGAGATTTACTACTAATCACCAGATATATCGGCCGATATCTTTGTGTATATTATAGTACAGTACCAGTCAAAAGTTTTAACACTTTCCCATTGTAAAGTTGAAGTTTATTCAACTTTAATTCAATTCAATTCCATTCAACTTTATTCCATTGAAGTTTATTTCACTTCGGAACATTCATTCACGGATTTGCACTACTGTCTTCACACACAGACGAAACTTACTAGAGAAGTGTGAAGTGTGACATAATATACCGCTGTAAATAAATAACATTTTAATTAACGTCTTGTGCACTTTAATGCCCTTTGAATGTAACGTGTATGTTCCCGTGGAACTGGAATCATAGCGGAATATCATGTGAAGTCCACTTCGCAGGGCACTTACTGTCGAATAAGACAATGCTTGAATGCTGCTGCCTGAACAAGAGACCTCCTTACTGAAGTGAAAGTGTTGGCTGGTGTCACTATC